AATTATGATTCTAATTTCTTGTGGTGTTGTATTAGGTATGGTGTAATGTTTGTTAGTTGGAGTATTAGTATTTTATGCATCTTCATCTGAATGACATTTTGTTTTACTGTTGTTACTATTATATGGAGTAAATGTGTTACAAAGATGGCTGGAAAATTCTCCAGCTTGCTCTTCGTTGTTTTTGACCCATATGTTTTGTGTTTTTCTGATTGCTGGGATTATTTTTATTGGTTTCTCTATTTTGTTCGTGTCTTTCCATAAAGTGTATTTCCATAGACTGTATCGTCTTTGCGTATATCCTCGTTTCTGACACGGGGCGTTGACTATTGTTCTCAGTATCTTCGATTGCAGCGACTCTAGTTTATTTATGTGGCTCATTGCTGCTGTCCCTCGTAGTGGTAATCCGTACGTCCATATTGATTTTATTATCATTTTGTAGATTTTTAGTTTATATTCTATGCTCTGTTTATTTTCTAGTTTCGACTAGTCGGCCAGTACATCTGTCTTCTTTTTATCCATATTTTGTCTATAATTTATTTAGTATGTTGTTTCCACGTCAATTGTGTGTGTAAGTGGAGTCCTAGGTATTTAACTTGCCTTAGTGTAAATGTAATATGGTTGCATTTATTGGGGTTTGCTTTGATTTGTTTATCTTGTAGCCATTTTTTATTTTTGTGATATGCTCTTGTAGTAATGTACCTGCTGTTTCTGGTTTGGTATGCCTGACTAGTACAGCCATTTCGTCCGCGAATGTCACTATTTTACTGTTGGTAGTTGTTGATATGTCGGCCGTGTATGGTGTGTATAATATTGGTCCTAAGACGCTTCCTTGCGACACCCCTGCCTTGATATCTTTTACTTCAGAATATACATCCTTTATTTTTACTACAAAGGTTCTGTTTGTAAGAGACTTTCATGGTTCATTTTGTCAAATGCTTTCTCAATGTTCATGAAGTGCAATCTCATTGTCCTGTACAGTATCGTTCCTTTTCTATTGCTAGTAAAATTTCATTGACGAGTCTATGCATTTGCTCTATCGTGAAGTGTTTGTTTCTGCATCTAAATTGGTGATCTGACATTAATTCTTCTTTCTATATTGTTATAATAATATAATAATTTCTTTCTTTATTGTTTGTTTTTGACGATCGTATATTATTTTCTGTAGAATTTTGGAAAACATAGGAAGTAGTGATATTGGTCTGTAAGACACAGTTTGGTGTGGGCCTTTGTCTGGTTTAGGTAACATTATGATCTGTGCTAACTTCCATAGATCAGGAAAGTATTGGATTCTTAAAATTGTATTGGATATTGAAACGTATTGTTTATGGGGGAAGATTTTATCATTGATTAGAATTCCTGGTGCCTTTTTGTTTTTTGTTTTCACAATTATGATTCTAATTTCTTGTGGTGTTGTATTAGGTATGGTGTAATGTTTGTTAGTTGGAGTATTAGTATTTTATGCATCTTCATCTGAATGACATTTTGTTTTACTGTTGTTACTATTATATGGAGTAAATGTGTTACAAAGATGGCTGGAAAATTCTCCAGCTTGCTCTTCGTTGTTTTTGACCCATATGTTTTGTGTTTTTCTGATTGCTGGGATTATTTTTATTGGTTTCTCTATTTTGTTCGTGTCTTTCCATAAAGTGTATTTCCATAGACTGTATCAATTTTGAGAATTCGTTATTATTATGATCTTTTATTTTACTTTTTATTTCCTTTGAGAGATTGTTTAGATGTTTTTTGTTTGCCAGATGTTCTATGTTCTTGCCATTTTGCTTTAATTTTGTCAAGGTTGTCTGTTGGAATTATTTTTGTTTACCTGTTGTTTGGTTCATAATTAGTAGTTGCTCATGCTGCTTCTTGTATAATTTCTGTCAATGATATTGCCTGTTCAATGTGTTCAGGTGTTTTTAGTACAATACTGCAGTTGATTTTGCTCTCAATTAGTTCTTTAAATGTTTACCTTTTGGTGGTTTTATTGCAAAGCTGGATTGCTGTAAAGTATTGCTTTAATTATGTATTCTATTAATGTCAGTGTATGATCAACTAAGCTCAAGACTGGGTGTTATTTTTAATTTGTTTAGTCCTCTTATAACTGAAAAATCAAACAAATCAAGTATTTTACTCTTCCCATTTTTGTAATATCATTTTTAATAAATTTTAATAAATTTTTCAATATCATTTTCATGTCGCGGTGGTGCATATACTCCTGACATCTGGAAGTAATTGCTGTTAGTTTGTATTGTAACGATGATTGCTTGAACGTATTCCTGACTAATTTGACTATGTATATGATGTTTGCTAGCAACTTACTCGAGGACAGTTAGCATCCTTCCTTACCTACCAACCTAGTAGATAACCAATTAACAGCGACGTCAATTTCTCTCACTTTCCTAACGAAAACTTTCCTTAACGAATCCAATGATCTCGTATCCTTAGATACAGATCCATCACAGTTTTCCTCCGCAGCATCATCGTCACAGAAAACACAGTTCCTCGACGTATCTTGAGCAGTAATCATCTTAACTTATAGCACGTACTCTGCTCAATCGCTATCTTAACTCGATCGGTATCATTCGAGTTGTAACCGAGAAGCGTGAATCGTTAATTGTAATCGCGAGTTCTACGTAAAGTGTCGAAAGCGAGCATTGTTAATAAATATACTGTTTAAACATTTCCGAGTGTTTCTTTGGTACCCGTCACGTCCTATCCATCTCATAATTTTAATACGAGCGGATCAGTGTGTGCGAATTGGAGCGCCCAAATTAACCGCGGTACGCGCGCGGACAACACGGATGGTTGCGATGAGGTTTTGTAGGATTTACAGAGTATCATGCGAACTGTACAGGCGAACAAACAACGGTGGAACGTCGAAAGGTTTGTTAGTATCTTTCAACGTGATTTCGAAGATGGATGCAAATGAAGTAGCAGCTAAATCGAAGTTGTTTCAAATTGGTGACGAGATCATTCAAGTTTGTAGACGTAGATTGCGTAGTATGTCGATCGTCGAGGTTAGGAACGCGTTAAAAACACGTTCGGAATCCGTAGAATTGCAGATAGGCAGAGAATCGACTTTCGTTTTAGATGAAGAGCTAGGTAACACGTGAGACGCTATTCTTGTATACTTATACAAAATAGTTTACATATTTTATATACTTTTCCCACAATATTGTTATAGAGAAATGTTTTAGTTTCGAGGGTCCGTTGTTGTAGACCATTGCAATTCTAAGCTGCTACTTTCAGCGTGTCCATTTCTATTTTTTACTTAACATGTTTGTAAGTAGTTGTAGCATAACCATAATTTGTTGTGTTTGTTGTCTGAGTACTGCATTTTGCTCACTTATCATTCTTATACTTATATTTACACTTACACTTACATTTACACTTATACTTATACTTATACTATACTTATTTCAATATAGTTTTCTGTTACAATCCATTCGTTCCTTCATCAGTTAACCTCAACATGTGTAATTCAATATACACATATACATATGACTGATGCACCTGAAAAATATTCACGCGATACAAATCGTCGCTGTATCGAGCCTGAAATTGCTTAAGAAATGTTCCATATTTCTCAAGAAGTGAAAAGAAGTAACAGTTTCCTGAAGAAGCTGAAAAATGGATGGGCATGGCTGGATAAAAAGCAGTTCAGTCATCGAGGACAAGTAAGTTGGCTAGCATTCGCCGAATGCATCAAATGAATATAAAGAAAATGATGAACATTATGTGGAATATTTGCTGTGGAAGTTGTTGCAGATGAAGTTCAATCCGTCACTGCTAATAACATTGAATATGATCTTAAATTGTTTAAATACTGTTTATATACTGAAGCATATCTGGCATTTTTAGATTTTCTGTTACAGATATTTACATGCTTTAGCACATTGTTCCAGAGTTGCCAAATTTTAATTCATTGTTTGTTAATGGAATGCCATAGAGTTTACCAACAGCTGGTAATTTCTTTAGTATGATACTGTTATGATTGAAAATAAAAATTTGCGTGAAGTAGATGCTTCCAATCAAAGTGATTTACTCCTTCTGAGGTTATATTGGTGCTCATATATGATTTATATAATTTAATTACAATTGATATAATATTAAAAATTAATATATAAAATATAATTTATGTTTGTGCTTCCGAAGGAAATGCGGGAGGCGTTATGGGAGTTGTTAAGGAAAATATGGAATGGGGAGGAGATACCAGAAGATTGAAAAAAAGAAGTAATATGCCCAATATACAGGGTGGTTGGTAACTGGTGGTACAAGCGATAAGGGGGTGATTCTACGCGAAAAAAGAAGTCGAAAATATAGAATATTTAAGATGGGTCTATCTTGTTGATTAACGAGTAACTAATAATAATGTTAAACCATATCTGGTCTGCAGGAAAATTAATTACCTGTTCTGTCAACATTTCCATTTGATTCAGCGCGTTTCGTTGTTCGCCGAAATCAAGTGCGTATTGGCTCAAATACAGCAATGATTCAGTAGTTGCCGGTTGCAGGCGTATGATCGACAACAGTGTGTACACGCCTTAATAATTGATGAACAAAGTTTTCAACGTAATTTCCTCATTTTTCATTTTCGACTAGTTGAATTGCCGAAATTTTGTAACGTCTATGGTCCAACTGTCTGTATGTAGGTGTCAAAAAGAACCAACAATCTCTTGGGTCAGCAAATATGCTGCCAGCATTATCATCAGCCATAAGTTTAATGTATGTAAGAGTTGACAATAAATTGAATTATAGTAAAAAATAATTCGATTCTTGTACATATCTAATTTTATTCTAAAACATTCTGTAATTTATTATTTATAAAAGTAGACAGGATGCTTCGATTTTCTTTGTCTGTACCACTATAATAAACATACATACAGATATTGTAAATTCACATTGTTGCGCTATTCAGAAAGTCGACTACATTCTATCAAATATGTATGTACAAACCATATCCACAGGATGAAGGAAAGAAATTACGAAATATAGTATTCGACGTCTGTAACGACTTTCCTTCATCGACGCTATGCTTATCTCACACTATAGGTTTCGATTACAATGCAATATATCAATATCAAAGGAACGTAACGGGAAAAATTGTTGAACCACTGCTTTACTAACTGTTTGTTCCCCGATAAGTTCGGATAAACAGACTAAATTCAGACGCAAATTCCGCTATTCGCAATATATGATGAAAATATATTTCGAGTTCATAATTATACGTTTCTATTATGCAATAAACAATAGCAGTCGCTGTAAATTAATTTGCAAAGACTGCTCACTTATTTGAGATATTATTCACTCTCAAATTCCGTTTCATCAACCATTCCTCTTTTATCATATCGGCACCCTTCTCTGCGATCATGATAATCGGAGCATTGGTATTACCACTGACTATGATTGGCATAATCGAGCCGTCTATGACTCGAAGTCCGGTGACTCCGTAAACTCGAAGCCGAGGGTCTACTACAGCCGTTGGATCCGAATTAGGCCCCATCTTGCAAGTACCCACTGGGTGATATATAGTCGTGGCATAGGATCTGATCATGCACTCCCAGTATGGATCGGTATACATAGAAATATTCGCGCAGTTAGAAAGTGATTTCGGCAAAAATTTACTTCCATAACGTCTAAATGATGCAGTTTTACTCATCTCGAACACAAA